GAATTTTTTTCAAAAGAAGTGTAAATTTTGTAGGCAAACTTGGTAATCGAGTCGAGATAAAGTGGCGAGAGGGGCACTTACACGAGGAGGTTTGGTGATACCAAGTGATAAGCTGTGATAATATTGGATGAGACATACCACATATTTAAGCTGGGTGCTAGAAAACGTATACTTATTCATTCAGTGACAACGAACAACACAAAGCGATAAAAGTTGATAGGGGCTGTTGAGATTGCTTAATAAGATTATTCGAGACATCTTCTACTCTCTAGTGGTGAACAACATTGTCTGGAAGCTCACGTCGCTCACACATATAGTGCCTCTCCCAAGTATTAAATGCGATTGGCAGGAGCATCCAAGACATCCATCTAACCCAGCCATTTGCAAGGCCAACATGACCTGTGTTTGTCTTGACTCTTATCAGTTACTTATCCACTTACCCAAAGAGCTATGGCTTCCCACACTGCTCTTGTTCACGGTCACGTCTGCCTCCTTGAATACCATCTTGACTACGACGCGTATGTACTTCCATCAGTTGTCCATTCCGGAGCTCATTATGCTATAACGGCGTACGGATACACACCTGATGAGATACAAACAGAATTGATTTAAACTTACCATTATTTCCAAGAAAAATGTTCATTCGAACTGGAGTATGAAGATAGCGAGGGCCAAAAAATAAGCAGTTGTATTCGTCCAATATCGAGAATGTGATCGAAATCAAGTTGACCAGTTCCTTTTTTTTATTTTCCAGACGACTCATACAACAAAAGCAGCTAAGGAAGTACGGCGGAAAATCTCACCTATCATTTGCGTTATGCTGGACCCTGAAAACTTGTACGAGAATGCAGATGAAAGCGCACGACTAGAAATGGTTCATTCATTTATTGAAAGCTCAGTGTTTTGAATTATTTTACAAGTAGCCGTTAGTACTAATTTCATTGTACTGAAGGCATAGTTCGCGATAATCTCTGGGCAGTTGAGACGACTAATGGAAGCGAAAGTCGAGAATAGTGAGATGGTGGCGAAGAAAACATGAGACTTCTCTAAAAGACCAAAGGGCTTCAAAAAAGTGAAAAATCAGGCTTGGACGAGAGCATGGCGAGAAAATGGTGTCGGAAGGGTTCCTTTACGAGCTGTCCGCAATGGGTGCCGCTGCACACATACGGCTACAATGGACAAAATATTTTCAGAGCGGGTGTGGGCACATTCGCTCGCTTGGAGTACGCGCGGCAAACTGCGCGGCGAAAGTCGAGATGACTCGGACGACTCTGGCGCCTACCATTGGGGCTCAAATTTGAAGTAGAGTAGACAGGTAGGGTCAGCCGATTCTATTAATCCGCTCAATTCCAAACCTATGCCCAATGATAGGCGCCTAAGTCGTTCTTTCGCCGCGTTATTTGCCTCGTGCACCTCCGAACGAGCAAGTGTTGTATCCTCCCCACCCCCTCTTCAGAGCAGAGCATCTCTTCACCCTCAGCGATCAGTTGATTGCACGGTTGGTCCTGATGCGAATAGTGAAACCTCTCGTCTCGATAACTCGTGTGAGAACTGGATGTGGCGACCCCTATTATGCCCTCCCTATAGACACCGTTTTCCAACGCGGAAGTGCCCTTTTTGCTCCCCTCGAGGGCAGAGGTTAATCTTAGGGGTGAATTTCAGAAATCATTTTTATCGCGGACTACACCTTTAGGACGTTTTTGAAATTCCTCGTTGGATAAAACTTGGATAGATAGAATTTATGGATAGAACTGAATTGGGAGCGGATTCATTTTCAAAAATGTGGCATAATTCACCAATCCTAGGCAAACACTTATTGCAGGTCCGCAACCTTATCATTCACCTGAAATCAGAGAAAGTATATTTGGATCCGAAGATGAAATTTGATAATCCTGCAGAAATGTTTGACTATTACAATAAGAATAGCTTCACCATAAATAACAAAGTAAGCTCCCGTCTCAGTGGTATTCAGGCTTTTAGAAAGTAAAAATGTTTTTTCAAGGAAATTTTCTTAACTCGAGGGATTGGTTTAACGGATTGGGAGTTTGAGCACAAAAGCGTCCAAGTGGGAAAAATTATTGGCCGTGGACAGTTTGGCGAAGTCAGACGAGGAAAGCTCACCCTGAAAACCGGTGCCGTCGTCTTCGTGGCAATAAAATCGGTTTGTCAGTTATGTTAAAAATGTCTTGTCATTGAAAATGTCGAAAAAACTCAGCAGGACCACAACTTCCCCTTTTATTTGCAAACGCAGGGCGAGCTAACATTTTAGAAGCATGAAGGCTTATACTGTCTTATACTGACTTCACGGTGATATTGCAAGTTTTTAAAGCAGGGCATCCAAAACATTACCGATGGAAACTCTGTTTTGAGTCAAATTCCAAGTTCTCTCATCTTTGAACCTCGGCATGTCTGTTGTTCTTCAAATCGTTAGTTTTTACTTCTGCCTCGAGGTTTGTAGGTGGAAATATTTATTAGGGCCGTAATAAATA